TAATTTCCTTTTTGAAATTATGAATCAAGAAAAAATTGTCAACAAATTCTGCGCAAAATTTCTTAATATATATTATGTAGACTACTGTATAATGACTATACTGCATATGTATGTTTCGTATGTGTACTATACTTTTAGTTTTAGGCCTGATAACTACTATAGGCCTATATTGCGTATAGTCGCGTTTATATAGTAGAGACCATAGACACCTTACGTAAGTCTCATGCAGGTCAGCTGTGTTATGTCAAACACCGTCATCGCTTTAGCCTCTTTGATTTTGTTAGTACGGAAATCGACAAGAGTTGAAACGTTTATGAACACGAAAGTGTTCTGGGCTATTTTTTGTTTGTGCTTCTGCGTTCATCTGGACTGATAAATTAAATGCGTCGTTGTTAATTCTGGTTGTACTATATATATATATATATATATATATATATATATATATATATATATATATATATATATATATATATATATATATATATATATATATATAATAATCTATAAGTTAATCACCAACACATATTTTAACGTTTCGACGTTATTGTCTTCATCAAAGTAAAATCATTTACACAAACCCCTACTTTTATACCCTACCAGATAAGCATAATTATTCATACACCTTAGAATCCTGTTCAATGTTCAACCCCGAGGGGTACATTGTCTTAAGACTATTAACCCAATACATTTCCCTTATAGTTGGTTCTGCTGGGTTGGTTCAGTTTGTCAATTATGACTATATCACAATCATTCATTAAGCCATTATGTTTTTCGCCTAAGAAATGTGAATGAAAAAAGGCTTGTGTATGAGCTTTGTTGGACATTGCTTTCCTTTGGCAAGATTTATAATTATTCAATCTAAAGCGGAATTTATCTGTCGTCTGGCCAACATATGTATGACTAAATGTCGAGGTTCGAGGTAATTAACTGACTTATTACATGATCAGGAGGTTTATTCACAAAACAGCTCTTACGCTTGTGGGACGTAACACAAGGCTGAGTATGCGCACTATATACGCTTTAAAATGTGGTCAAGCATGCGCAGTATATCATTTCACGTCCCACAAGCGAAAGAGCAGATGTTACTGTATAAATTCCCTGCACAAGCAAGTTTGATGGTTGATGCAGCTAGTCCTCGTGCACCGAATGATACATACTCTTACCTAATGGTAGAGTTTTGACGGGCTCTGAGGTACACGGCTGTTGTCTCTTTCCCGACTGGAGACGGTACAGCGTTTATCGAGTTGGGAAAGAGACTAACCTCTCATTAGGTACTTACCCAGATAAGTACATCATGAGTATAGTTTTAGTGAGGTATTTATCTAGATAAATACCTCATTAAACTATTCATGAGGTATATATCTAGTTAAATACCTCATGAATAGTTTAATGAGGTATTTATCTAGATAAATACCTCATTAAATTAAACTATTCATGAGGTATATATCTAGATAAATACCTCATGAATAGTTTAATGAGGTATTTATCTAGATATATACCTCCTCATGTGTGTATTGAGCAATTCAAATTCATACATCAGCCCCGCTCTTCCCTGCTGAAAATCAAATCCCTCCCCGGGCTTTCAGATGGACGAGTAATTACGCTAGATACAAGGTCTTGAATAACAAAAGAAACCGACTCAATCATGTAATAATGCTTCTTCCATACTTTACATGTCAAAAGATAAACCACACACTTTGAGTCACAGTTTAAATGATGGTTCACTTTGTATTGTTTACCATCAGCTGTGCACCTAAAAGTGTCGGTTTCGTTAATATCTTGACATGTCAAGCACATGCGTTTATTACTTTTCTAACATCCTTTCTCTCTTACTAATGTGGTATCTTAGCTCTAACTAAATAACTTCTTAAGTTACGGCTTGTTCTTAATGGTTCAGGGGTAAATACTTTACGAGCTTCAGTGTCTAAGTACAAAATATGCAAATTTTTTCTTAATTACCAAACCAAAGTGCTTCAACAAATGATGGAAAGCTATAGTTAAAGGCATTCCTGTGTTACAACCTTCGTCTCCAAGTGTATTACATTCCGCTTCAATATTGTATTCCTTGATCATCTTAAATTGATGCGCAAACCCAACTATATACGATAGATCTTTTAACGTGCGCAGGGTGCGATGACTCATAATGTAGATATCGATGGCAATCGGTAGGCTTACAAAAAAGACTTGAAATAAATTGACTAGCATCAATTCCAACCGAAACATCAACAAAATTCACTTTAGTCTGCGAGTACTCGTATGTAAATTTCAAACCAGAATGAAACAGACTGTTGCGGAATTTTGAGGTAAACGAAATTCTATATTTGCTCTATCTTTATGGTATTGAGCACTCTTTGCGTTTTGTATACATATATGTATTTATACTGATATATATATATATATATATATATATATATATATATATATATATATATATATATATATATATATATATATATATATATATATATATATATATATATATATATATATATATATAGGCAAATGTCAATAGATATATTGAGTGTCGAATCATACGAATAGAGTGCTCGATACAAAAGTATTTATAGAGAAAATAAAATACAAACTTGAGGTACTTCATTTAAAACATTTATTCACTCGTTTAAAACATTTATTAATTAGTTCACGCTCATCAGATGAATGCGCGTATTTACATGATATTATATATCCTGTAGCTCACTTGAGATATTTTATATAAAATAATGTTTGACGTCATTAGGAAAGCGTTAACATACTGTGACCTAAACTACTAACTTTGTTCCTTCTCTATAGTCATCAAACAATATTCCAGATATAATGATTCCCGAAATTTTGCATCTTTCGAATTTTTTTGAATTGAAACGTATACTCCGTAGTTTATATTCATTTAGAAAAGCGAACCAGAACAGTGTTAGATATTCAGTTAGTATATCATATTTTACAAATATAGCGGTTCAAAATCTAAACAAAGCGTTTGCTTACAGTACGTAGTTTACAGCATCTTTAATTAACTTTCGTATATAAAATATATTTTCGTTTACTAGCTTGGTAACTGCAAAAACGGGTTTGATGTTCGGCAGACTTTGTCTATAGGACTGCACATTAATTTAAATGTCCAGCTGCACTATAAAATATTCTGCGAAGATCAGAACTATCTTTCTTACAACGCTTATAGGAATTTATTTTAATGGTAAAGAACATCAAGATTGTTTTGGGCATCTCACTCCGGCGATTGAACTAATGTTAAAGGGTTATGATGGAATTTTCGAGTGTAAATTTTATAGATTTATTAAGACCATAACCCAATAAATATTTGCATGGACTAAAAGGATTTAAGACGCAAATTATATATATATATAATTATATATATACGCCAAAAACCAAAAAAACTATGCCCATTTGATTCCGTGCAATGAACATGTATGCATGTATTAAATAAGTTCAGTCCTGCCAGAGGCGTCGCCAGGGCTGGGGCCGGGGGGCCCGCCCCCCTGGCAAAATCCCCCCCCCCCCTGGCAAAATTTGGCGGGGCCCCTGAAAAAATGTATTGTATAAAAAAGGGAATCCTTGATTATATAGCTTCATGCTGTCAATAATGCAAAAATTCTGTAGAATATATGCTTTGCTGTGCATCGGTGTGAAACCTAAAATCTTGTTTGCTTATTTGCGGCACACAGCTTGAAACACATACCTTTTCTTTTCTAAATGAGGGTTAGATGAAGTTTAAACCAATCTGTTTGTTTTACAAGTGAATTTTTAATGCGGGTTCGGCAGTGGCGCCGTGGCCGGAGAGGGAGGGGGTGGGGAGACCCGTCAGAAAATTGAGACCCGTCGAAGAATTGTCAATAGAGAGTTTGAGCAAGACAACGAAGTCGAAGGCGTATTTTCCAAATTTTTGCCGTCTGTACATTATCTTGCGCATACCGAGTTGGACGTCACTGGTGGTTGCTCAACGTGTCTTCCCATTTGTCGCTGTTTATGCATACTGACCCTAATTCTTGCCCTGACCCAGAAAAAAATAGCGAGACATGAAACTATATCCCGTCTTTGTCCTTCTGCCTTCGTTCGAACGAAGTTCACAACGAATTTTGCCAAAATATTTGCGTTGTGAACGAAGGCAGAAGAACGAAGACGAGATATGAGGCCGGTTTACACGACCAGTGTTTTGGGCACGGCACCCCTAAAAATGGGTACCCGTGCCAAAAATTTTAGGCACGGCACCTCCGCCTTTTGGCGCCTCTGCCTTTTGGCACCTCTGCCTTTTAAACGTGCCGAGACTTTCTCACGAGGTAGTCTCGGCACGTCTAGCAAGCGGTGCCGTGCCCAAATTTCGAAAAAAATAAAAAATGTGTTGGACATCGAGCATGCGCAAAACAAATTGTCCTCTTTGCAACATGGCAGCAAGCGGCGAAAAACTACAACTTGCCAAAAGGTAATAAAATAAAGTTAAAAACAAATTTAAATAATACAGAATGTGAATGTTGCTCTAGTTACTCGGAAATTTTGGTACCACTGTTCGTCGCTGAATAGTAGAGCAGTAACTAGGTCGTAGCAAATGGCTGTCCTTCGATGCGTCCATATCTCTCGAATTCGTGGCGGGTGAATACAAGATAGCACAACATTTACGCGAAAAAACAACTCCTTTCGTCTTTAAGGGCCTATTCATACGGGAAAAACTTATCCCGGTTAACGAGAAAACTTTTCGACTAGCCAAAAACTATTGTTCTGTTCACATGGAGAAACGTTATCCCGCTTACCGGGTAAAGTTTCCGGCTGTGGCATAGCACTGAACATCAATTGAATTGAAAAGTTGCTGACACGACAGAAAGTTATCCTGCTAAGCGGGAAAGTTGTGTTCATATGGGAAAACATTATCCCGGTCACAGAGATCTGACTTGTGAACAAGCGAGATCTCGGTTACACGGGAAAACTTTTTGTCTTATATGAACGCAGTGTAACTTTTCGTATTATTTTCATACCAAGATTTCCTGATCAGCGTAAGGATTTTGGTCAGCATTCATAAACAGCTAGACATAAATCTCTAATCTGTCTTCATGCCTGACCCTAAACTCAGAATGCGTAAGATAATGTGCAAGACAGGCAAAAATTGTCAACCACGGTCCACGTCGTCGTCGTTCGACTTCGTTCTCTTGCTCAAACTCTCTAATGTTGTCGGAATCTTCGTGGTGAAGCATCGGAAAAAGTGATACGGAAATCGGGAAAAGTGCTACGAAAGCAATTGTAATGTTATTGCCCAGAAAAAAATTTTACCGAAAAAGTTTTCGACGGGGGGGGGAGGGGGGAGATTTAAAATGTTGTGTGGTCCAAAAATTTTTTTCTTCCGCGAACTTTGCGTCTCGAGCCACTGGCGGCTTGGCCCCACCTGGGTTTTTGCCTGCCCCCTCTGACCGAAAATCCTGGCTACGCCTCTGAGTCCTGCTGCATGTAGTCTCTGTATTTAGTCATTCTTGAAGTATAAATTTTATTGTACGTTACGAACAAATTATGCAATAAATATTAAATTCATATTTTTTCAAAATAGTTTGAAGTTTATCTGGCAATGCATTTTAAAAGGATGAAGTTCACAGAATGTACAATTATCACCGCTCTGATCCTGTTTCTGATGATGGAAGGAATAATCGCAAATAATTGTTCAAAGCGTAAGTTACTAACTTATAAAATCGCTATAAATTTTAAAATTTGTAGTAAATTTAATTGCGAAAGACACATGCCGTGCAACTTAATCGACTCGATGGCTTATTACAATCACTCTGCATGGCTGCCACTGCGTGACTCATGTCTCATCACGGAACACATGTCGCTGCGATGAGTAGGTTTGTTTGGGATTCGTTCCCATCCACGCTTCAATTACATTCCAAGCGGGAGGAAACTGCAGTACATGGAACTGAAAAACAAAACATCTCGGTAAAGTGCATCCACCATTCGAATAATAGCGAGGTTCAGCAGTTTAGATTTGACCTTCACTACCTCAACCAATACCTCTCACCGGCTTAGTACTCATCTGATTGGTTAATTGGATATAAAACGCATGTGATTGGTTAATAGTCTTCTAAAGGGATATGGCAATATAAATTAAATTTGTCTTATTTGAAAGAACATTAAAAATGATATATAAAATTTTTTCTATAATTCCATTATTATATGGCCCCAATATGCATGAAAGTGGATTTAGTACTCAATTAACTCACGACAATTTAAGAAACTTTTCAAAGAAGTTTAGTCTCACATGAAGAAGTTTTAACAAGTTAACCCTGCTTGTGACGTCATCAAAAACTCAGTTAATTAGGTAAATTATAATACCAAGTTAGCGGACTGCACGTTGTTTTTGGTGAAAATATTTCGAAAACCAAGCAAGGTACGAAAAAGTTGTAAAGGGTCTTCATATATAACTTTAAAAGTTCTTTCAAATAAGACAAAGTTAATTTTTATTGCCGTGTCCCTTTAATTCATGTAGTGGTAGTGGAAGTGAAATCTGAGCCTCTCTAATATGTTTCGTAACTCCGCAACGAGAACCAAACGCACGGAATGAAGCCACTGCTCAATATACCGCTAAATATGAAATTGTTCTTGAGTATACGTACATGTATAACAAATAGAAATATCCCGTATTATAACACGGCTTATATTTGTTCGCGTACACCCTGTTGTTTTCACTGATGGTCGTATTATTCATCAATCGGTTATTGTCGTTGTATAGTTGTTCCAACACAAAACTGCCAATAAATTGATGAATGCACCAAAATTTTAAATACTTTCAGTGAAGTTTACATTGATGTATTTTTGCCTTTACATTGATATATTTTTGGCTTTCTTTATTTAAAAATTGCCAAATTGTAAGGCCATGTTACACGAAGCAAAACTTGCTACGGTTCTGACAAGGAGTCATGCTTTGTAAAACTAGTCGCAGGGAAATTGCGACTAATCTTTCATTTTTTATAATCAAGCGACTACTAGAAATACATGCAACCCCTCGCCTATATTTTCCCAACATTGATTTAACATGTTGTATATAACTATTATTAGTTATTGATCAACACTGAATGCAAGCTCGCGTTTACGTCAGTGTTCCCATGGCAACCCGATAATTAAAATTTTTCATATAGCTCTAAATTTCGTGTCGGGGTGTACCGGCGGTGGTAAATCACGTGACAGATTCGTAAAATACGACAAATATCGAGATTTTTCCGACGAGCATTTTCTTGTGATGTGAATCATTCATGCACGCTTTCGTTCACGGCTTTCGTCGTGGAAAGTTAAAGAAAATATTGATCATTCGCCGAAAATTTACGTACTTGAGCGCTTTAGAAAAATAGATCGGGGTAGGTAAAGCTTTGCTGTTTTTAATTAGTACCCTTATATTCTGTTATTTGTTGTGATTTCGGAGCCGTTGTGCTGGCACAGATAATTTATAAGGCGTTATTTATATATCCTGGAAGGCCACGCTGTCCTGAAAATATTCATTTTTTATATTATCAAATTGAAACGAAGCCATCGTGTTTGCACTGATTATACTGTGTGCAAAACTTCAAAACTACAGTACATTTTGTAAAAAACATAAAATGTATAAAAAATATCAAACAAAATTCCTATTAATGCTATTGAAATTATAACGATATTGAAATTGATAATTAATGTAACGAAAAAGCATTTTACTACGATAATCGATACTTTCAATCATAGTCGAGATCTAGCCTCCTCCGCAGGCATCGCCTTTTGATTATCGGGCAAAATTTCTTGCAGGCAAAAAAATTAATAGCGGCGATGCCTACCAAAACCCGAAGAATTTGGACCAGCTATGTAACCCTTGTGGACCGACTATGTTACCCCCACCCCCATGGGATTAATTTGTTCATATCAAAACTACTACAAAATGTCAAAAGATGTGTTACTCCTACTCCCATAGGATAGGATCTTTTTATATTCAGACACAATTCGAAAAAATATCCATCGAGAATATCATTTTTATGTTGAAAATTGTTACAAATATGAATGAAACATTGATTATTTTGCATTTACAACGGATGGCCTGAATGTAACGAAACACAGATGGTCAAACCACTTCGTATGTAAATCGTATCGAGAGAGAAAGTGTAAAAATTGTGAATGGAATTTATAAGAATTTTTGCAACCATTCAATTTATATTTGGTCTGTATCCTACATGCATATAACATCAATATTAATACTTTTGGGAAATGGAATACTCTAGAAGGCAGATGGACTGGTAAATGACAAAATTTCAACTGGATAATGGATGCTCTTGCCCCTTGGAATTGTCGATTACTACTATATAGTTTAGTGGGCCTGCATGACATTGAAACTGGTTTGTCTACACAATTTTGAGATATTTCAGCAAAGAACAAATTTCAAATTTACAATCCCATGTGTTTTTACGCTATAATAATAATAATGGTGGCGCTTTATTTAACGAGGATTTACAGATAAAGCTACAGTACAGCTTGTTTCCAATCTGGTCCTCTTAAGTTCTAGAAATATATTACATCACGTGATTACAATACTCATGCAGTTAACATTCTTTGGAAACGTAGGATATACAGTCACGGATGCGTCACAAACACACAACATACACAGATACATCACAATCACACAACATTAGCAATCTATAACTATCAACAGTATTAAAGTTTTATATTAATATAATCTTTTTGTGTTCAATTCAGTCATCTTAGCCAGTTTGTTCTTAAAGTGTTCTTTACAGAACGATCTAAACCCGCGTGTTGTGGTAATTTTTTTCCCACGTCTGGATGTTTGTTCCACAAGGAAGGAGCCAGAAACGAAAATCTGCGTTTCTCTGCGTTGGTCCTGGCTTTGGGGAGAAACAGGTTATTGTTTTGTACTGCCCTTGTGGGGTGGTGGTGTGTCGGCTTTTCTACAAGCGTGCTGAGGCAAGGTGGGCTAATTTTGTGGAAACAGTTGAAGGTTTGTAGAAGGATGCGATGGCGGATGGTATCGGCTTTAGGGGTGATTTAAACGTGTTGGGGCGGGGTTAAGGATGGAGTAGTGTAGTCAACGAGGGTTCTTGTAGCTCTTTTTTGGGCGGAGGTTAATTGACTAAGCGCATCCCCAGAACAGTTTCCCCACACACTGCAGCAATATTCTAGAGTTGGCTTGGCCAAACTGTTGTATAAGACAAGTGGGGGTTCAGGTGTTAAGTAGGGTTTAGCACGTTTAACTAGTTCTAGTTTGGTGTTGAATTTCTTATTTTTTATTATTTCTTATTTCATTCTTTCTTTTCTTATTTCTATTTTTTTCTTTTTCTATATGTTACTTGTTAGCGACATGTTGAGTACATGTACAGCATGTAAACTATGTAAACGCTGAGTAAACTGCTTAGTGCTGACTGTGCTGTAACACAAATTTCAAGCAACGTACTATTGTGCAAGTTGACCAAATGTAAAAAGTGTTTATATTCAATAATTATAAATCAAGCAGAGTTATACAATTTATATTGTTGCTGTATTATGTTAGATGTTACGCTCAAGATTATTCTACTGCATTAGTGCAATGTATTAACCAGCCTGCCATACAGCTGACTAAAATTTTAAACAGCCATCTAAAAATTTGGATTCTCACTTGAAAATTGACAAAAAACATGTCTTTGCGCCACCAAAAGAGATACACCTCCATATCTCAATAATACAGGGATTGATCCAGCAAGATCTGGTAGGGGGCTGCTCGGCAAGCTCTGGTGCAGAGTTGTGTCGCCAGTGTCGGTCATGTGTGGCACCCGCCCATCAACATACTGTATTTGAATTGTATTTGTTATTCACAGTTTGCTTATCATCATGTTATTGCTCAAATTACTGTATCTCATTTTGTCTCTATTATTTTTTGCTTCATCATGAAAAAAGCACCACCTGCACCCCCTCCTGGCAGGGCTTGGAGTGTCCATCCACCCCCCTCTCTAGTAAATCTGCAACTTGCAATGCAATATCTGATAAAAGGCGATGTTATTTAAAAATAAGTCACAGGGAAATTGTGAGCATGGACCACAGTTTACTTTTCTTTTTATCCCATTTTCATCCATTAAAAACATGTCATATTGTATAAAAGAAAGTGTCGACTCAGCAGAACAGAATGCTGGCCATGTTCAATTATGTCACTATTTTATGACATGCTTTATCAATGTTGTCATTGACAATGGTTGCTTGTCCATGTGTTGTAGCCTTGAAGCTGCTAACTGTACAATGTAAACCTTGCTGTTCACACTTTCTAGGATGCAGCACCTAATAGTCTTCATCTCAGACATGCAAAATAGCACCTAGTTTCTTGCATGGAAATCCTAACAATTCAACATGTTCATTTGGATTAAAAAAATTAAAAATTATATTATTATAATCATCTACCACGTTATTGTTTAACTGCTGGATTGTACAATGCAATTCACACCATGCAGGTACTGGACTCAAGTGCACACAAGAAACAAGACATAGTATAGTAAGTGAATATAGTAAGTGAACCTAGCGAATTTTAGATTTCAGACAGTGGCGTTGCAACCTTCACTGATTGGCATACTTGGCCAATCTAACAAACAAACACCAGACCAACGATTTTTCTTTCAAATCAATCTGGCACTTACCTTGGTTTCTATTAACACTGGGTCCACATTATCATGCTAAAATATATTTATGTTGTTACATTTCTACACATCCTATGTAGGGCAATTTTGTCCTGCTTCTAACAACCATGAACTAACTGTACATGATAATTGCACTATTTTATATAATTATGCCAGCCAGACACTAACAATTATTTAAAATACAAAACTAATTGATCCAAAGAAATATTATATGAAATTAAATGCATTTCATTGTGATATTAACACAAAGTCTACCTTTATAGTACTTAAAAGATTACAACAATATTTCTATTTCCATCTTCTGCTTATACAAAAATATATGTAAACCGATAACACTAGTGTAAATTATTTGATAACAATTTTAATTTCCGGGTTAAGATTCTGTCAATTGTCCACAAAAGCTGCATTCTTAATCGTTTAGCCGCCTTTAGCGAGCGTATTAATATAAATTCACTAATTCTCATATTCCTTCACTCCATGCAATCCGCCATCTTGGATGACAAATCCTCCCCACGTGCATACCCTTGAGACGAAATCGCTGCGCAAGCAAGACGCGCAGAACGGCTCAACCATGTCGGGTTTTTGCAGGCATCTCACCGACTTTCTGAAGTACGTGAACTACGAGATGCCTGCGGAGGAGGCTAGTCGAGATCATAGTTCAAAAATTATTTTCAATCTATTATAGCAATTTATATTTCCACGGGTTTTTATTTGGGTTCTTCAAAAAGCCACAATAAAGCTAAATTGTAGCAAATAACATTATTTCGTTATAAATTTGTAAAGGAAATCTAACAGTGAAAAAACCTTGACCTTGTTATTACCGTCGCTTGCAACAGGATGAACAGTCGCTCATAAAACATTGCCTATTCGCGTGAGAATCTTAATTTTTTTTATTTTGACATAATATGTAGCTATTTGTCAATAAATATATTGATATTAAACTTATTGAATGAATATTTTAAGTTTTAGGCTATTTGTATCAAAATTTATAAGCTTTAGCGCACAATAAGGTTTCAGATGGAATGCAACATGCACGCATTGCGTACCTGTTTTTATTATATATTTTTTTATTATATAATATTTGAAAGATCATTGCTTTTAACTATACATATATCAATGATTTTCCAAAATATGTACTGTAGACATGTTATTTTGCATTTTGTGTTATTATTTAATGTAAAATTTAATTTAAATCGCTTCGTAAACTATTTTCACCTTATTATTTTCCCGATTATTTCAAGGTTTATTCGATCAGTTGCAAACAAGTGGATTGTAATAAGGCTTTGTGGGTACATGGGATGGGATAAAAGAAGACTATTGCCAGCTTGTGTACATATATGGACGAAATACCAAACAAGATATCGACAAGCAAAAGGCTACAGTGTCAGTTGAATTGGACAGCTCGTATTTGTAATGACTGATTGTTCCGCTCGGCCTTTTTATATAGCAACATATATATAATTTTATCAAATAGATTTCATGAATGTTTCTGGCATTAAACGCCTTCTGAGTTTTGTTGAAAATGTGCTTTATTTCGTGTTTTGCTGGATCGAGTCGCATGAGGTCGTGTGACATAGCGAAACTTGTTTATTTCGTTTCTATTTTTGAAACAGCTTGTATTGTGAACTCTGCGACTACCAAGGTATTTTAATCAACAAATACAATAAATAATCAGAAAATATTGTGCATATACTTTGACATCTTACAAAGTTGTCTAGCTAGCTGCTGTGAAATAGAGAATGACTATATTATATAGTGTACAGACATGACTTTTTTTGTATTAAACATTAATATGAAATGTATGGCTATTAGTAAAACCAGGAACACCGGAACAACGGAACACCGGAACACGGAACACCGGAACAGCATCATTCCTGGACACGGAACACCGGAACACTAAAAATTCTTAATTTGTTAAAAATTCGAAAAAAATTACAGGGGGGGTGTGAAATTATTGCTGGAAAAATTATTGCGTAAAACATGCTTTTTAATAATATTCTGACTTGCCGATAAATTACGAACTGAAATCAGTCTCAAATTAATAAATATTTGCCAGGGAAGAAGAAATCAAATTGTTATTTGTTAACAATAAATGGCTATCTTTCACTTGTTGTTGAAAACATGACCTTTGCCTTTGGCCGGCTTTCGGTCAATATTAACAGACAATATTGTAACAACAGTTGATTGGCTTCCTTGTTTTTACAAACTTACTTATGAAGTTGAAAAGGATAATTTTCATCTCTCGTTCAAAGTTTGCCTTTACTTTAGCATCACTTACAATTCTTTAATATACGTAATAGCAACTTGATCTTTCTCACACAACACATAAGCAGCGATGGAAGGGAAACTTTTAGCGTGATAATAACCTTTCGCCGTTTCGGTCAATCAAAACGGACAAAAATACAAACAAATGTAGGCCTTGTAAGTCATAGCTATATTCCTATAAATAATATTTCAACGCACGTGTGTCTATTTATCTATTTCTGTATGTTTATTCGACTGTAAATTAAATTGACACTCACTTAATACATTAGGGAACGTTTTACATTTGGAGATTTAGTACAAGTAAATATCCTACGACTCTAGTCTCTATCCGCGTTTTCGCTTGCCCTGAGATTCATAGTAGGCGGCCCTCCCCCATAGTATGTTATGCCATACTAGCCGGCCTACAATATATTTATAAAAGGTCACACGCGACGCGGTACTGATATATGGCACGAAAGATTATTGCATATACTAAATTATGCCCTTTTAATATAGGATGCGCCATTTTTATATGTATAAACAATAAGTTGATTTTACAACTTGTATTTGAATTTGATATTTTGAACGAATATTAATATCTCGGCCTCATCACAGAATGCTAAAATTAATGATCTTCATTATTTTTAAATTTTGTTTTCCATTTTTATATACTCAATGCCAATGGGCGGGAGTTGAAAATTGCACATCTACCTTTCAAATGCAAGTTGTAAATTCAACTTATTGTATTTATGCCCCGTCGCGTGTGACCTTTTTATATATTATGTTTGCTATATCATTCTAGCCGGCCTACAATGAATCTCATGCAGGGCAAGCCAAAACTCGGATATAGTCATACAACACTACTCGTACTAAATTTCAAAGTGCACAAAATTACCTACTGAATTGAGGGTCAGCTAATAAATTTTAAACATAGTGAAATAGACAAATAGACACACATGCGTTGAAATATTATTGAAGCTATGACTTACAAGGCCTACATTTGTTTGTATTTTTGTTCGTTTTGATTGACCGGAACGGCGAAAGGTTATTATCACGCTAAAAGTTTCCCTTCCATCGCTGCTTATGTGTTGTGTGAGAAAGATCAAGTTGCTATTACGTATATTAAAGAATTTTAAGTGATGCTAAAGTAAAGGCAAACTTTGAACGAGAGATGAAAATTATCCTTTTCAACTTCATAAGTAAGTTTGTAAAAACAAGGAAGCCAATCAACTGTTGTTCCAATATTGTCTGTTAATATTGACCGAAAGCCGGCCAAAGGCAAAGGTCATGTTTTCAACAACAACTGAAAGATAGCCATTTATTGTTAACAAATAACAGTTTGATTTCTTCTTTTCTGGCAAATATTTATTAATTTGAGACTGATTTCAGTTCGTAATTTATCGGCAAGTCAGAATATTATTAAAAAGCATGTTTTGCGCAATAATTTTTCCAGCAATAATTTCACACACCCCCCGGTAAATTTTTTTCGAATTTTTAACAAATTAAGAATCTTTAGTGTTCCGGTCTTCCGTGTTCCGGAATGATGCTGTTCCGGTGTTCCGGTGTTCCGTGTTCCGGTGTTCCGTTGTTCCTGGTTTTACTAATAGCCGAAATGTATTGATAGACATGTACAGTACTCAGTAGAATTTCCATGCCCTTGAACAATTTGGAAAACCAAAGGCGTACTCAATTAAAATATCTTGACCACTGGTCCAGTTTTCTGTGATTATTTCCTTTGATTTTGAAATTTCCTTAATAACTGCTTATCCCACCAGTCCTCCCAGTGTGCTGTATTATAAATGGTATGTTAGTGCCTATAGAAGTACTAGTGGTTTCATGTAACATGAACAAATTAAGTGTTAATTGGCTTTACACATTGCTTTTGAATGTCCCTTCGTTGGCTGTTTGCATTTTCTACACATGGGAATCTATCTGGCATTGCTCTTGGTACTTTGCGTGGTTTCAACCATTGTTTTGAGCAAGGTGTCTTGCTCAGCCACTGCAACAAAAAATATTAAATCATTAAGACAGAATAGGTTAAGACACTACTATCAAACACATTTCCAATAAAAACAAAATATACTTTTCCCATGAAGAAAAATTATGCCTTCGAGGGGTGTGGCAAGTTGTGTGAAGCTAAGTGTCCAACTTCCCAATTTCTAACGTGTTTTCTGCAGGTAGCCCCAGTCCTTTTTTACAAAATGGATGCGAAAAATACAGCTTAAAAATCGTTAATATTTTCTCACTTTTTCTTCTTTCAAGGCATTTTATTTATCCTAGAGCACACTCAGACAACACACCTTTTATCTAAGGCACATAAAATAAGCAAACATTGTTTAACCGCCGAAATATGACACGAAAGAGTTCAGAGACAATTTTTTATAATTTACATAGAAAAATCTTAGATACGGTTGATAATGGTGTTCAAATATCCAGAAACGTACTTTAATAAGTTAGAATTAACTAGTGTAACTAAATGCATGCATTCCCATTGGTTGACTGCTCGCTTTAACTGCTCGCAGAACTTGCCGAGCACACGCAGTTGATCATTTTTTGAACGGTCGCCTAGAAAAAGCGGGTACATGAAAACGTAAGGGTTCCGAAGTGTTTACAACGGCCAGTTCCACCTCTATATGTACCTACCCTGTGTCATGGTGTATGTGTGGACCTCCTCACTGATCTCGAAAATATGGCTGATTGCTAGGGGAGTGGGATAACCCTATTAGTACTGGGGATAACCCTAGGAATAAATATTTATTCGTCATTCCTGAGCAAATGATCCCATTTGCCAGTGCTTTTATGACGTTTAATATTTTTCCTCTGCCGTCATGACCGCGAAAATATTTTTTTTTAATTCAAACTTATCCGGACGTTTGACGACATTTGTCAAACAAGGAGGCGGGGCCAAAAATGGGAAAATGTGGTTTGTACAGAATTTTTTGGCTGAATCACCTCCAAGGACATAAATAACATAATATAATTAGAGAACATAGAAAGATGGTGATTGTGATGTTACTCTGAGTGTATATTCACACCGGGCAGGCTTAAAAAATATGCATGACCACGGTGAGAATCAAACCTACGACCTCTGGAATACTAGCCCATTGCATTGGGCCAGTATTCCAAATACTAGCCCATTGCATTGCATTGCATAATACCAGAGCATTAGCTCTGCTATTATGTAATGCAATGCAATGGACTAGTATTTGGAATACTGGCCCAATGCAATGGGCTAGTATTCCAGAGGTCGTAGGTTCGATTCCCAACGTGGTCATGCATATTTTTTAAGCCTGCCCAGTGTGGATATACACTCAGAGTAACGTCACAAGCATCTTATTCACCTGAGTACATTACACCAAGACAGTAAATATCATGATTACTAAATAACACTGATATCGAAGGAACTAGATTCAGTTCCGAAATATCGCATACCCGAACCGACCTGACCTGACCGCGTAGCTTAGTGGGCAGAGCATTGGGCTAGTATTCCAAAGGTCGTAGGTTCGATTCCCACCGTGGCCAGGCATATTTTCAAGTCTGACCGGTGTGGATATACACTCAGAGTAACATCACAAGCATCTTATTCACCTGAGTACATTACACCAGGACAGCAAATATCATGATTATTAGGTTACACTGATATCGAAGGAACTAGCTCCGAAATATCACATACTCGAACCGACCTCACCGCGTAGCTCAATTGGCAGAGCATTGGGCTAGTATTCCAAAGATCGTAGGTTCGATTCCCATCGTGGCCAGGCATATTTTTCAAGCCTGCTCGGTGTGGATATACACTCAGGACAGCAAATATCATGATTATTAGATAACACTGATATCGATGGAACTAGACTCAGTTCCGAAATATCGCATACTTGAACCCAATATACAGGGTGTATCAAAAAAACCGCAACCTCGGAATTTCCCAAGAAATCAGCATTGTTTTAAAGACAAAAGATTTTAGGTGCCTGGGAATTTAAAATAGCACAACTGTCAAAATTACTGCACACGCAAGTGCATAAAGCAAAATTTATGCATTTATTTAATGCACAACAACAGTAATATGATCTATTAGCAATTCGATTTCAATTCCCAGGGGCCTAAAATCTTTTATGCTTAAGAATTGCAAAGTGATTTCTTAGGAAATTCCGAGGTTGCGTTTTTTTTTATACACCCTGTATATACAGGGTGTCCCAAAAAAACGAAAACTGTTGAAATCACTTATTGTTAAAATTGAATGCCCTACCAAAAAGCTGAACGTAATGATGCGTAAAATTTTGACAAGGTGCATGTATTAAAATTTAGTTAAGAACATCTCCTTGTAAAGTGCGCAATTTTCTGCTCTTGGGAATTTAAAGCAGCTTCTTAAATAGTTTTTTTTATGCATAAAATTTATTTGTGTCAATCATTTATGCACTCGTGGGAACCAGCAGACTGCTAAGGCATTCAAATTCTAACAATTAAATTGTTATTGGTGATTTCAATAGTTTTCGGGTTTTTTGGGACACCCTGTATAATAAACAAAACAATACACGTGTGCTTGCAATTGTATTATTCTTTGTCCATTTACACTTAAGCTAAGCTAAGCTAAGCTATTGATGTTGTACTTTTGTTTAAACGCATGAGCACGATAGGCCAATTTGGCCTGGCTTACGACATGCATAATAAATGATTATTCTTATTTTCAAAACAGCTGTGTCGTGGAAAAAAATACCAAGACAACTGATCGAACAGAAATCACGTTTCCCGGGACAATGGTTCTTGTTTAATTGTTCTATCAGTGCATCCGATCATGTGACTTTATGGTTTATGAAAAACAGAAAATCAGAAGAGAAACTGCAAGTTATTGATAAAAAGATAATATTGGTTTCTAAGAATATCTTCAACATAACACGCTTGACAGACAAGGATAGGGGATTTTACATATGCAGAGTTTGCGGACATGAAAAACAAATATTTGTTGAAATATTAAAAGGTAAGCCTATTCTCAAAGAAATGCTTATTTATTACAAAAATATTAAATTCGCCGTCTCAGTGCAGTACGTACATTATCTAATTGTCAATCTTTTTCTTGACGCATATTTATGTAACTATATTTATATACATGTTAATGCACTGATCACTGAAGAAAAAATCTCCGAGTAATTTGGCTCAAAATGTTCAGGAAATGATGCACCCACAATGCCTAAAATTACTCAAATTTAACTTCTTTAGCAAATATATCTTTGCTCGATATAATATAGAGTAAATTGGACAATTTACACATTAAAATTCACAAGGAATTTGTACATAAATTAGAGTTATTTTAATTAGGGAAAGTACATTTATTATGCCGAGGGGATGAAGATGTTAAGGGGGGCACATTAATATTTTCTGGCATTAAAGGCGGGGGGCTCTGAAAGTTCTCGATATACCAAAGTGGGGGGCTATAAACCTTTCAAAGTTTAGGTCCAGCAGGGGCCTGGTCACTCCCACCATCACTAACAGAATAGGTTTGGAAACTCATTAGAACAACAATATAACTCATTATCTATGTTAGTGAGCGTTTATTCATAAATCTGGTCTTTAACCGTCACATATATGCATGGCATTGTATTTTTGCCCGACTAACCAATAGCAATGTTTTAGGAAAGTTACCTATGCGTAACTCGAACAATGGAGTAAATTAAAAGTTGCTATTGGTCGGACGTGGCAAAAATATAATACACACGTGACGGTGAAGGAATAAATTTATGAATAAACGTTGACTACAGATAGATAATGAGTTATATTGTTATTCCAATGAGTTTCCTAACCATCTATTCTATTAACTGGCATGGGGGAGCTCCACATACGCTTGTCAAAAATGCATGCAAAAGCACCAATATGCTTCAACTTCCTTAATTTTTATCCTGTTTCTACCAAACTTTCCATGAACATAGAACACATCATTCTTACAAATCGTATGGGTTTTTTTTTTGGAATTGCTACTTTTAGGCGGGTAAAAAATAATAATCTTTATCCATCAAATACCAATACAGGCACATATGAAATTACATACAATAAAATATACCAAACGTACATGTATCCCCACAATAATTACAAAATATAAGATTACAAAGAATGCATTTCTATTTTTTATATATTATGAATGATAATTGGTATGTTTACGTCATGTGTGGGTTATCATATAATAGAAGAATATCATGAAAATATTTTGCCACTAAAAAAATTACATCACAAATTTGGCACCAAAAAACTAAAAATAAACTGTTGGTGATTTTATAAATCCATTTAGAAGAGCAAACTAAGGGGACTTTAAAACTGAAATCTGTTTCTAAATACAACCATTTTATGGGAAGATATAGGTTGAAAAGTCCGCCATATAAGCCCCGTTTACACTACACTCATTTTTGGCACGGCACTCTTAAATAATGGCACGCGGACCATTTTCTTGAAAAATCAGCATCGTTTACACTACAAATTTTGGCGGGCCATCAAGATGCACTAGCACCCTTACTCTTGAATACGGCCCGCTTAAATACTGCGCCCTTAAATCAAACTTCAGCGGTTAAACTCTTAATGTAAAATTCGCGGGCATTTTAAAAAATGCATGGAGGATGTAAAAACAGCAAACTCGGCACTTGTTTGGTATTTTTATGTGACAAAACGGAGACGTTTACGCTTGGCAAAATTTAAAGATAACCGTGTACGTAGAATAGCGCTTCACAACATAAAAAGAAAAGGTAAAAAAGAATTCACTGAAACTGTACTAGCTTTTTTTCATCGCCAAAGAACTACAACACTGTGGATGCACCCATGCACGAACACAGATCTGGTTTGAGATGGTGGACGACACCTACAACGACGAGCTATGGTATGCTAACTTCAGAGTTACGAAAGAAACGTTTACATTTATTCTCAGAAAGGTTGAGCCCGAAATAGCTCATGAAAATACACATCTTCGAGAAGCAGTTTCAGCGAAGCAACGGCTGGCAGTTACATTGTATTATCTAGCATCCACGGCTGAATACCGCACAATTGGCAACTTATTCGGAGTTTCACGGTCGTTTGTGTGCCAGTGCATTAAAAAGTATGTCATGCAATAGCAAAGCAGTTTCCAAATCATCAAATGCTATCAGCTTCCCTAAGGGTGATGACCTTTTGCGAGTCATTCGAGTTTATGAAGAGTCATGGAGCTTTCTCATGTGTGCGGGCGCAGTAGATGGAACTCACATACCGATACTGGCACCTAACAAAAATCACACAGATTATGTCAACCGTAATTAAGGGGTTTCATAGCGTCCTTATGCAGGCTGTGGTAGATTGTAATTATATATTCAGGGACGTAGTTATCGGTTGGCCAGGAAGCGTACATGATGCGCGGGTTTTCTACAACTCAGCCATTTTTGAAAAAGGAAGGGATAACTGTCTTTTCCAGATGACCTCAATGGGGAAATATGTGGGGTGGAGATGCCACCGGTAATTCTTGCGGACCCAGCCTATCCGCTGTTATCATGGGTGTTAAGAAAACTGCAAAATCCCATTACTTGATGTCTAGTTGATGTAAATATTTCAGGAATATTAATGACAGTATTCTGTAATGTACTAAATATTCCTTAAACATCTTCTATATTTGTTTGTAAATAGTTCGTGTGTTTTTCATTGCAAATTGTCCTTATGTACATAATCTATTTTTATATTACAGAACACTAAAACTATAGGGGCCTCGTCTTAAAAGTCCAACAGGATTTCCAGAGGTCTCTAGCCCGTTTATATACTATTCTTAAATATTCAACTTGTAAATATTATTTGTGGGTAAATAAAAAACTAAAAATAAAAAATTAAAGGGCTACCGCAGGAACGAGGCAACAAGAAGTCAACGTGTTTTTAAAAACAATCGTCTTAGTTGTGCACGAATGACGGTAAACACCTTTGGTAGGTGAAAAGGAAGATACATCAGATTCAAAAAGCGGATGGACATGGATGTAAGTACTCTGGCACATGTTGTACAGGCTCATGCGTGTTACATAACATATTCCGAATGATTATACACTCAAACATCTGGGGCCAGTTGTATAAAAAAGTGATTAAAGTTAATTATAATTAAGTGGAAACGTCATCCAATAAGAAGCGCCTATTTGAGAGTTAATCACTATTTAACTACAAAATAGTGATTAAAAAAGTGATTAAGAGTTTTATGTAACCGGCCCCTGGGTGTAATATAATTTAGTTACCCTCACTTGTGGTCCATGAATATCGGATATAGAGTGCCTTGAATAGGATAAATTCAGGGCTGACTTTTATCTAATTATCAGCACTCTATATCCGATATATAGAGCACAATTAAGTGTAAGTAAGGTTTGTTTTTCACGCCATCTTGTTTTCTTTTTAAAGGAATACGCATGCGTAATTAGTTTTAGGGCCGCGTGCTATATTTTAAGCGGGCCGAGACTACCTCCTTGAAGAGGTCTCGGCCCGTCAAACAATTATGGTACGCGGACCCTTAATTTTGCGTTTACACTGCGAAAATTAAGAGTGCCGTGCCTAAAAATTTGGTCCGCGTGCCATTATTTAAGAGTGCCGTGCCAAAAATGAGTGTAGTGTAAACGGGGCTATAGTTACTAAAAATAGAACAAAATGGCGGATTTTTAGAAATTTATGTCGTTATGTCTTCGCAAGGAATTATTAGGGACCTTTAGCTAACAGGACGGGGACGGCTAATATAATACAATGAAATTTATGACAGTGTATACGTAGAAAAAAAATGCATAATGAAAGGTCCCTTGGGAGTTTTAGACGTCCTCGACGTCCTTGCTCTGTTTACAACAGCAAACCAATGATTTTCGCGTTTTGTATAAAACGTCTGCCTTTCAAGCCGCGAGAAGTCGTCCTCGGCAAATTGGATAGAAGTCTTTTCAACTATAAACCTCTGTCTTAACTTTCTTAAACTGCAATAAATTCAAACAACGAATAATAAAAGACATGTTGTTCTTATAGTTAGGCGAGACTTTTTTTATTCGTTGGTTTCTATACGGATCCGCCGACCGTAAATTAAATATTCAGAAAGTGAAAAATAAAAAAAAAATTTGGATGTCAAAAATTTTACAATTTTAGTTAATTTTAATTAATTTGGGGTTCTGACACGAAGTACACTTCAAGTGAACTTTGACTCTAGGTACTGCAGGCTCATGTTATCGTTGTGACAATCAATATGTAGATTAGCCACTTTTTTGCGTTTTTTTGAAATTGACGTTAAAAATTTTTATAAAGATTATTAATTTCGGTTCTCATTTATACTCAGTTCGTTTTTTTTTTAATTTTTTTCCGACCTACCGACCTCTTATTTTTAAAGTCAAATCCGTAAACCAATAAATAAAAAAGTCTCGCCTTACTTATTTTAACGAGTTTGTTTTGACCGTCGTCGTCGCGTTGCCGTCACCTATTTGCTAAAGGTCCCTATTGTCAGAGATATAGCGACTGGGGGGGGGGGAGGGGGTGTAACTCCCTCCCACCAACTGTGAAACTCAGGCAAAAATCACGTAAAATTCAAGTTAAAATTTTGACATTTTTAGGTAAAATTTGCGTAGTAAAGAAATTATTTTTGTGAAAAGATAACCATTCTTGTAAAATACAGTCAATTTACATCCAATTTGTTTGCGAATTTGCTTTAGGAACGCTAGAAATGCAGTCCTAGAGCTTCAAAAATGTAAAAATCTTCTGGGGCACTTTTCACCTTAAACTTAGTAGGCTATCACAGTTCCAATCAATCACAAAAACCTTTATCATAATTGTTACACCTCAGGTAAATTTTTAACATTGAAATTCAAATTTCAGGTGAATTCCTCTGCCCCCCCCCCCCTCCCCCCAACTTCAGATGCTTCACTACGTCCCTGATGGTTATATTTCGAAACTGATTTCAGTTTTAAGATATCCTTAGTCTCAGCCTCGTACCCAGGCTCTTTAGTAATTAATAGCGTTCATAGCTCTGGGTGAGCTAGGCGCGTGGGGATTCTTGGGGAGGTTGCGACGAAGAGAGAGCCTGGGAGATTTTGAATTCAAGATGGCCGACAATGCAAATTGTTTGAATTTAAATTAATAATTTTACTGTAATATGGACGAAATCAGTGTTACATTGAGATTGAAAAACTTGTCCATGAAATGGTTTATTTGGGGAGGATGCTATGCGCAAAAGACGATTGCGTTGCCCAAAGGGTTTTTTTTAACGACAGTGGCATATTTGTTCATCATTTTTGTATTTATATAAAACATTATTAAAGGAAGACTTCTCCATGTCTGACAGAGAAGAATGTGTACGAATATCCAGGCAACTTCACGCGCAAGAAACACGTAGATGTATTGAAAAGATATTTGGATATCGACATCATAGGACTTTCATTTCTTTTGCAATTTGTTCATTTTGAGACAAATTTATTGTACCATCTCCCTGACTATCTTGAAGCTTTTGTATTTTCTGTTGGTATAATGTTGAAAGTTTAAACAGTGTTTAGCTGAAAGTACTAGTGTTTTAGCTAAATCAATATTACTAGCATCCACTGCTGAAGCAATATTTTCATCTTTTAATAAGCATTCTTCCATGTTTTTAATGTGATCTTGTATCACTAAGATGTCTTTGTTATCATCTTTAAATAATTCTTTAGATACCATAGGATTTCTGCCATATGATTTTATTAGAAGATTTGTATTACAACTCTGTGGTGAATGTCAAGAACAATATTATTTTGTACATATATAAATAAATCTTATAAAATATGATTGCATTACTAGTTGGCACAAATTTTATGATATAAAATAAAATTTATAATGTAAAGAAACAATGTTGTTTACATCAAATTTTGTGTTGGAAGCATGTTGAAAGAAGTTAAAATAACACATAGATATAAAACATCCTGTATGCAGAGCCTGAGAACTATTAGCACACTTGCAACAATTTTTTGGACAAGTTGATATTTATTTGGATATTAGAATAAAAAAAGTGCGCACAAAACAAGCAGCATCAAAACTAATTATTTAATCATACAATAAGATACAATGATTCACGGTCAACCATGCAGGGGCGTAAATCCTGGGTGGGGGGGGGGGGAGTTTTGTCGGGCAAAAAAAATGTAATTCAGCAAAAAATTACAACAATATTACTGAAAAATTCAAGAATTGTACAAATTTCGATATGTTAGTGAACCGAACATTTGGATCTTCCTTGTACTACACAAGTTATTCCAGCTCATTTGATAATACTTGTCTCCTTTCATTACACTGGTGACTGGACAGGTTATATGCTGTAAGATACAATCGAAGAAGACTGATTTAATTCATAAAAATTCATATATGCAATAACTTGCAGAAAATTCAACAGAACACCTATACTTAAAATGGAGTAATACATTATAACCATACAATCATGCATCTGACAAGGAGGAATATATCAAGCCCATCTGTATACAATTAACCCCATTAAGACACAAGAATCATCCCTTGAGAAAAATTCATCTGGCATTAGACAGAGTAAAATAAGTAAAATTTTAAATATTGTTTCACTAAATGTTCTGAACTTTGTTTTGAAGTGTGCAAATTCATTCTGAAGTTCAAATGTTCATAATGTGATTCACAAACCTGTTGGTAAAATAAGCATTTGATTGCGGCTACAATGTCTCTAGTAGCCAATCTGACGTTTTGTTTACAAACTTGCTTATGAACTTTATTATGAACTTTTGAACTTCACAACAAAGTTGCAAAGTTCGAAACATTCCAGTAAAAAGTTATTTGAAATCAACAGTAATACTGTCATATACCACTTTTATAATTGACACCAGTTTAAATAATCTTTTATGTCATCTTAATAAGCCCTCTTGGCCTCGTTTTATTGGCTGGGATTGTGAAGAATTTTTTAACCTAACCAAGGTCAAGAAGGCTATACAGGTGAGTAAAAAAAACTGATACCTTCGCGGCTAATTGCTCCGTCGGGCGTAGCTTCAATGGGCGTAGCCCGAGGGAGCTTTAAAATGCTAATTGTCTGTCTTTAGGATGTCACAAAATGAACGTTTCACAGGTACATCGGTGTATTTTGTGGATACGTCTAATGGGTTATTTTGCAAGTATGCTTCAGTGACCTATATAGTTCAGTTTTAAAATGGCGGTTGCGTGATGAGTGGGCAAATAAGATTTCTGGCAATTTCGCTAAATTTTCACCGAATTGAACTGTGTTTTTGATGTTGTGTTGTACTCTGGACTTACTCTTTATGAATTAACGTATTTTTGTTGGTGCAACAACAACGAAAGAACGAATCGGGCTGAATTAAGGCTACTGGGTCACCAAGACTGGCAGACTGCAAGACAGTTGAAAGCGAGGTTGAAAGCTTATTTAATACTGGTAAGATTTTAACATGCTATTCTGTTTCTTCTATACTTACAAATTTTTTACGCCTATATAGGCTATATGCAGAAAGCTAAGTTCAACGGTACCTCCACAGGCACAGTATTAGCAAATGGTTATTAAAAAACATAACTTTTCTAATTTCGTAAACTGTCAGTAGACATATATCATGTAAATAAGGTCACCATGCATTAAAAGTTGTTTTATAATTTACCTTGGTTGCCATGCAACTTCTACCAACAAGAATATGACATGTATTATAGACATTTTATTACAGCTATATCTTGCTTGTATTGTTTATTGCCACTCCGGCAGAAACCAAATCACTATTTAAATATTGTATCGAAATACAATCCCAACCAATGACGGTAGTAAAGTATGAATATCGATCCACGTTATCAGGGGTGGGTGGGTGAAATAGTAACGTCGATTCGACGCTATTTGTGACAACATGAATATGGACATGGCCCCTTATTTATACAGTGTTATTGATGACTCAATAACACTGATAATAAGTGTTATTGATTAATACAGTGTTATTGATGACCTGCACAACATATTCATGTCATCTGTGAAATTTTGCTCATTACTTTGGTTATCAGGAGGTTATCAACGGCTATGCTGGTCATTAATTATAATGATTAATGCTAAACCAAGTATAATTAAAGTACTGGAGATATATCTTTCATTTCTGATTTGTATGTACAGTATTATTAGGCCATGGGCCAAGTGCCGAAAATGTGACTTTTGAATACGCACCTCGGGGAACCAAAAAATTTCTTCAATAACTATTAGCATATGTATTTTAGAACAAAATTATGTGGTATGCCAATCGTGAGTCTTGCACATTAATGAGAAAAATCAACCGCTTTCTTGACTAATTTGTATGAATTTACTAAATACTTTGTTTCAAATACCCAGCATGTTTATATCTCTGAACCAATCAAAACGGATTTTTCCCAACGTTAAACCAATCAGATAAGTGTATCATGTTTCAGTCGCAACAAAGACTAGTTGTAAACAAATATGGCGTCCGTCGGTGAAGGCAGACGGCCAGGGAAAGATTTTTGCATTATATGCATATAATAAATAATGCAAGAGGAAAATTAACTTCTTTTACATATACATTATGGTGCAGTTTTGTGATATTCGCAGCAACGTGGAAGAAATTTATTTGTAAAGAGGACGAAATCGCACATGATTCGGAGGCGAAACTTGACTTGCGTCTCGATTCACAGTGTGAAACAATGCGCACAGATAATGTTAAGAGTTTTCTGCCAACACCAGCCTACTGCAAAATTCGCCGGGAGTGCTACAACGGGTTTTATAACAAACAGAAGGTCGAAAGGGAAGAAAGAAGACACGCTATAAGGGACGAGAATGCCAAAAAATGTAAGAGAGGATTGTTGTGAATTGTACAAAATATAGTGGTGTTTTATTACAACGAACCGAAATATGATCAAGTTAGGTCATTCAATAAACTGGGATAATTGGGATATAAGGGGGAGTTAGGGGGTTAACTTTCGGTTTCCCCTGAGGAATGTATGAAATTTTTCTAGAATGACCCAGTGTATATATGTGTGTCTTTGTAATAAATTCTGGTTGAGTAATGCCATACACCCTCCAATAAGATAGGTATTGTTGAAAGGGGGAGGGGGCTTTTAGACTAAATAGGAACGAACATTGGTTGGCGGATGGAACACAGTAGCAAATGCAGGGGGTACCTTACTGAAGGGTTTATGGTAAACAGCATTTAAATCAAATTGAACAGTATTTGATGGTTCTTGTATTCAATACCTAAATACAGGCACCCCCATCACACTTTATAAAGAAAACATGGTGATTAACCAACTTGTAATATATAAAAATTGTTATACATATTTTAGAAATAATACTGATTTAATTAATAGAGAATAAGTATTCATTTCAGCTCCACTTTATAAACTGTTACAATTCATTTTTTTGTTTGTTTTGTTAGTAAAACTTGTGCGCTTAATTTATATTACAGGCAGTGTATGTACTACAGAATACCGCACAAATTTACATGTTCCATCTTTTGTCAAATGTGTATAACATAGCGTGTTAAATATTTTTTAGCATTGTTTCTAATTATTTGTTTCTTCTTGTGGGGTCTTATGTTAGATTTGGCAGATTCTATTATTTTTTAAATCGGACATTCTGTGGATAAAACCTAATGTACCACAGAATACCAGTGTGGCAATAAGTAATTAAGGAACGGTTTATCACATTATACGAGGATTTGGTGTGTCATGTTGTGTGATAACACTGTTCCGTCAGATATTGCTAACTTAATTTAGTGGAAGGTATAAATACTAAAATCACTACAGAATACCAGTGGTATGCGTTTTTTATGGTAAATTTGATCACTTGGTGTGATTCCTGAATAGTAAAAGTGTTGTATCGCTTAGAAAAACTGTTAATGAATGTAAATTATGTTGGTTTGTGAACTTATTTTCAAACTTTCTGATTTTACGTACAGGCATTAAGCAAAAAAAAGAACCGAAAATAAGGAATTTTACTTGTTGTTTATCCCGATTATTTTTAAGAATTTAATCAAAATATCCATTTTTCATTTTCATATGACCATTCAGACTCAAGCTAATATATATTCACAAAAATAAAGTATATAGCATGGGAAATTAAAAAACTGGTATTCTGTGGTACTATGATATTCTGTGGTTAACATACACCTGTACACGAAAAAGAGTAGTATGAAAAATTCTTTACAGGTATTACTAACAGATTGTACACCTTGGGGCTCGGTCATTGCAAATGTTTTCCAGTCAGTTTAACAATTATCATGTGAAAACAAAGTTAATATAAAGAGCAATTTGCATAAAATATGAAATTACGCAATCCAAGATGGCCGCCAACTATAAAAACTTTACACACAATTGACTCGATTTGTGACTTAATGTGCAAGTTTCAGGCTTGGCATACATAAAAAAACAATCAGCAATGCATAAGCTCACTACGGTGTAAAATTCATCTGGTTCCCCGAGGTGCGTATTCAAAATCGATTTCTAAACACATTTTTGGCACTTGGCCTATGGCCTATATGTTTCTCAACTTAAACTGAAAATTATTTTTTCTGCATGTAACAGTGAACATTATATTCCAGTATCTAATAATTTACATCTCAATTTCTCTCTGTCTGCTCTGCATTAATTTTCTTTTCTATAATTGTAAGAACAATTTTGATATTATGCCGCTTGTAATTTATATTAGCATCTGTATATTCATGAATATGTAAAAAGGAGCCCAAATTCCATAAGCTTTTAGTTTCTCTTTGGGCTTCCTTGCCAGTATACGCTATTGCATTGTTTTTATTCTATATATGTAAAACTGGTGAAATAAATTGACTTGACCAGGGACGCCGGAACGATGTGAAGGCAAGGGGAGCAGATTTTCGTGAAAGGGCACTTTTGAATTGATATATACTAAGAGATGTTTGCAAAACATCGTGAGTTGAACTTCGTCTAATAATGTTTTCTATTTATTGGATGATAGGGGTGTGAGGGGGTTCTCCGCCAGGCGATTGTGCTATAACTGCTATTCTTGAAGCTCGATGACTGCATTTCTTGCGTTTTCTGAAGCAAATTCGTAAAAAATTTGCACTAACATTTCTGACAATTCGCTATTTCGCCAAGGCAATCCTTTAAATTGAAAGGGCACCTTTGCCCCCCTTGCCCCTCCTGGTAAAGGGCAACGGGGGCGGCTGCCC